TGCGTTCCTATGCCAAAGCCTTCCGGTCGGTTTAGCTTGTGTTTTCCTGTAACCAACGGCTGTCAACGTAATCTAATTAATCTTTGGAGAAATTATTTGCTTATGACGAAAAAACGACGAAAAACCGCCACGAGACAGTAATTATTGATGTGGCAATTGTTTTGTCCTTAATTTCTATGAGCAAATTCCAGTGGCTGCATAACTCACTTTAAACCATTGTTTGCACAGTCTGGGTTATTTAAAAGGCCTCTGATTGGCCCTTTATGACCCAGGCACCGCGCAGCCATTGGGCTAGCAGGGGCTATAGCCCACCCACATTTTTGCAATAAAGTCAATTTGCAATTTGTTTTTCTCTAGGTGTTTCATCTTGTTTAATGATATGATGTATTTTCTAACTTGGTTAGCTTGGTTGTTTATTACCCTCGAGCTAATTCTATCTACTTTTCTAATTATTGATATCTTCTCTGAACCATACTGTTTATAAAAATTCAATAGAAATAAGTATTTTCTAAAAGGGGCGTTTTCCGGCGTTCTAGAGGGCGTGGCCTCAAAAAATTTTCAGCCACACCCATTTCAGCTCCTCCGTTTTTAGAGTGGTGCGCGGTCCCTGGTATGACCCTCGAGGTTGCCAAGAAGGTTAACTTTGCGTTGTTTTCCAGCGTATGTACTGACCAGTAAAAGTGGGCTTGCGATATACACTGGTTAGAAATCCAGTCTTGGACTTTCCGACCAAAACATCTAAAAGTGGCAACGAATCAGTTTCTTCCTTTTGAAAAGTAAACTGGAGGGCCGCTTGTAGGCTATTAAAATCTTACTGTCGTTATAAATTGCCCGATAGCCTGGTTTTGATCATTTGTTGCAAGAAGCCTTCCTGGGCGGTCACACACTAGAAGCGCTTTTCTGTTTGATACCAATTACTGACAGTGTAAAAAAGCCCTTTCAAGAAGAGAAATAGCAATTTTGATAGAAGGGAAACTGTTTGCGTAGCCTGGAAGATGCCTGAACACATTGCAACTGGTTGATTTGACCTATTAAACACAAGTAAGCCCGAACGAATTTTTAGGCCCAACCAGTATGTCATAAAACTTACCTGTCAGAATCAGACACAACTTTCCTACTGGTGTTGTGAATAACATTAACATATTCTTTGCCTTGTATTCTGTCAGTTTCTGGTAGACAGGGAAATTATTGTGACAAACTAAGCAAGTTCCTAATACCAAATTTGACTTCAGAATATGGTCGTATAACGGTTACTGATTGATTTTCCGAGATGGGCCCAAACAATATTTTCGAGAAGTCAGGTGACGATCACGTGATCGATGACGCTTTGAAACGATAATATAACCAACCATAACTTTTTAAATACTGTGCTTATGACTGTGCTTATGACAGTAAAATTAGTCATAATTGCTTCAGTATTTCATTTGCTATAATTTTTTTTCAATTTTGCTGATGTTAGCATTTTTGTTGATCATCATCATTTTTTTCATTTTCTGGTTTGATTTTCAAAAGGTGTAAAGACATAGGTTTTGTTTGTTCCTAGCTTTGAGCTGAAAAAATGGGTATTTTTTTGCTTAATTTGCTTAATTCAACCCCATAAACTTGTTTTTTCTTCTATTCCTCCCTTTCCCGTTACATACTTAGCGTTAAACAAAGGATCTATACATATAAATTTAAAAGTACAAAAATGATAATAATGAGAAAAACAATGTTTTTTATTTGAAACGATACAAAACATACTGTGTAATACAATCCTCAGCCATTTGCACTTGGCGCTGTCACAAATGGACGGTTAGAAGATCTGGAATCCAGTTTATTGTTGACGTAATGTGCGGGTGTCTGGATAGATAGCTTCTGTTCAATATTTTTATATGTAATTTTTTCCATATAATTATATTTCTTTCTTTAAAGGAGGGCAGCCCTTGAGCATGTTTTTAGGGCCCTTCGATAAAACATGATTATATCATAAGATTTAAGCATCATTAGTATTTAAAAGAGCCATGACATAATATATTAAACATTCAATAGTTTTTCAAACTATCTAGGATTCCGTAAAATTCAGCTATTCCATAACTCTGCCACCGGCCCCAGAATGGAAAAGCGTTTTTGCCCATCAGCTGAATCTTTCTATGACAACCTTAGGTCTCAATATTACGCAGGCTCCAAATCAATTGATGTAAATGCACGATTTTGGCATACCGAATCCACCAGGTGAGGCATTTGGGGGCTTATCATCAGTATGCCCCTTTACACCTGGGTACCCCAATCCCTGCGTCAAGGGATGATGCAAGCAAAGGTGTATGAAAGTTTTATAGCAATGTAAACATGATGAAGAAAACATTAATTCTATATGCATGTGTACGATTTTGTTGATATATTGTACCTGTAGAGTCATACACAATTATTTGCATAAAGAATAACTTATTCATCTATACTGCACTTGGAGGGGATAATATTTTGGTTTGATATAATGAGATATATGCAGTAGGGGCGTGGCTGTGCAACATCTTGTAGTACAATGTAAATATTAAACCTTAGAGTGTGTTTACCAACCTACAAAATTACTGTGCCTTTGTAGGGCTAAAATAGGGTTGGCAACTATATATTTTTATAATTGTTTGTCGTATAAGACCATACATTAAGGACAAGCCCAGCTTGTCATAGAACTTTAGACCTGATTGTACTCGACGCGGTCACCCAATCTTGTGCCGTAAGGAGATCTGGGATCTAACTTGCTGCTACAGAAAAAGGGACAGGTGTCCATATAGTAAATATTATACTGTTTTAAATGTAAATATATATTACATATACATAAGTATATATATTTGAAATGTATGTATTTCGTGTTTTGTAATTTTGCGGCCTTGCTAGCACAAGCCTTGGGATCAGTATTGGCACAACATCTATTTGCGGTTTTCCAATATACACTTTATAGAGGTCTTACAACTTATAAGATATAGCAATATCTACATTAAAGAATAATCATTAAAACATTAAAGAATAATATCTACATACAATTGTATCTTATCACAAAAAAAACGAGGGCCCCAACACGTATATACTTTATGTTTGATTTAAAAATAATTCAAATTCACATGATTTTAATCATTTTTCGAGTTTATATAAGTTGATGTGATAGGAAACACACTACCATATAGATGCATCCTCCATGTGCATAGATTCAGAATTTATAGGCATTTGACACACCGTGCAGTTTTCTGACTACATCGAATGGTCCCTTTTGACCCTTCATTCTGCCATATGATAATCCGTCAACTCCTTTAAAAATACTGGAAATTTGTTGTGAAGTTAAAAGAATAACGAAGTATATGGTCGCAAGCCTCTTTTCAGCCCTACAAAAACAAAATTATCTTACAGAATTGTTAACTTACTCTGCGTTCTGAGATATGGTTTGGTATGGTATGGTATGGTATGGTATGGTATGGTATGGTATGTTATGGTATGGTATGGTATGGTTTGGTATGGTATGGTATGGTATGGTATGGTATAGTATGGTATGGTATAGTATGGTATGGTATGGTATGTTATGGTATGGTATGGTATGGTATGGTATGGTATGGTATAGTATGGTATGTTATGGTATGGTATGGTATGGTATGTTATGGTATGGTATGGTATGGTATGGTATGGTATGGTATGGTACGGTACGGTATGGTATGGTATGGTATGGTATGGTATGGTATGGTACGGTATGGTATGGTATGGTATGGTATGGTTTGGTTTGGTATGGTATGGTATGGTATGGTATGGTATGGTATGGTATGGTATGGTATGGTATGTTATGGTATGGTATGGTATGGTATGGTATGGTATGTTATGGTATGGTATGGTATGGTATGGTATGGTATGGTATGTTATGGTATGGTATGGTATGGTATGGTATGGTATGGTAGTGGTATGGTATGGTATGGGTAGGATGGTATGGTATGGTATGGTATGGTATGGTATGGTATGGTATGGTATGGTATATGGTATGGTATGGTATGGTATGGTATGGTATGGTATGGTATATGGTATGGTATGGTAATGGTATGGTATTGTATGGTATGGTTGGTATGGTATGGTTATGGTATGGTATGGTATGGTACGGTATGGTATGGGTATGTGTATGGTATGGGTATGGTTGGTATGGGTATGGTATGG